CATACACACATAAGCCAGGGTTGTTTTTGTTTTACTGACTTGTATCTGAAGTAAACTGAAGTAAACTAAGCAAAACCTTTTTAGTTTTAGCTTACTTATTTTATTTTTTTAATGAGCTTTGTCTTAAATATGCGTTCACCCACCCAGTGGTCTGTGTGTTTAACAGGAGGCATCTCAGTTGCTCCAGATTTTGCAGGCTCTCCAGCCACCTCTATCTATTGATGGGAAGGTCATTGTAGTTGAGTTTGCCAAAGGCTCCAAACGGTAAATGCTCACACACCCAAACTTAATTGCAAAGAACATACGGGGACTCCACGCTTTACTATATTATAATTGCACAGTGGATGTGGGTGGCTGTAGCTCAGCAGGTAGAGCAGGTCAGCTACCAGTTGGAAGATAGGTGGGTTGGTCCTGGCTGCTCAAGTCTGCATGCCAAAATATCCTTAGTTAAATACTGAACTTTAAGTTGCTCTCCTGATACATCAGTTGAGGTGTGAATGTGTGTAAAGGTTAGAAAGATAGAAAGCTTAGAAAAAGGTGTTTGCATGAATGGGTGAATGAATTAAATTTATTTATTTATATAGCACCAAATCACAACAACCGTTTCCTCGAGGCCTTCGACGACATGGTGTATAACGTGCTTTGTGTGCTAGAGCACGGTACTATGTAAGAGTCAGGCATTTTACTGGAGTGTGAAATTAGACTAGTAAATGGACTGATCACATTACAAAGAAATGCAGGTTGATCATGTGATTATTAAAATTGTAAAGCATTTTGTGAATGTATTAGAAGAGCAATGATGGTTGAAATTAAGCTATTCAATGTAACAACCCTCCAAAAGCTTTTTGATTAAAGCCCTCACTCTGTCTCTTGTCTATGTTAGGGATGTGTTTGTAACGGATGGTAGCAGAGTGAGTGCTGCTACAGTGGCCAGCACAGCTATAGCTGCTGCACAGTGGGCTGTCACTCAGGTAAAGTTTGACGTATTACAGCATATATACCACATCCTTAATACAGATTGCATGATCATTGTATTTATTCTTTTAAATTCTCAGACCTCTCAAAATGGACCAGGTGGAGGCCAGAGTGTTGATACAAGTGTGTATCAGCAGGGGGCAGCAGTGACATACAGTCAGGAAGGGCTTGAGTATGCAGGGCAAGATGGCGCAACTTTCAAGCCCCAAGCAGATAACAGGGTTACTGCTTTGACAAGTGGAGTAGCTTCCCTGAATGGAGCCTACGCAGGAGGAGCAGCCCCAGGTTTGTATGACATGCCAATAAGTTTCTAACACACACATATCTGTATATCATGTAGTTGCATACAGTTACATTAAGCTTCCTCTGAAGCCACTTATTTGCACTTGTTTGCCCATGTGCAGCTGTCATTTCATCTGAGGCAACCAAACCTGCCTCAGTGGTTGTGCAGCAGCCGCTCATTCATACACAGACTCCTCTCATCACCACAGCTGCCACCACACCGGGGACACAGGTAGAACTTGATGCCTTTTCCTTCTTCCATTTGTTCCTTGTGTTTTTCCTGTTTTTTAAATCTCTGTCACTTCACAGGTTGAAATAGTGGGAAAACCACAACCAGCTGCACCCAGCCAGCCTGCAATCCCAGGCACTGAACATGAGCTCCAGCAGTATCGTAAGGCTTCATGTATTTAGTGTTCCCTCTGGGGAATTTACATCTTCGCTAATAATTGCAAATAATTGCTGCTGACTACTGGCAAGCTTACCTTTCATTCAGGAAAAAATATTGAAAATCTGACCCTGATGCAAATACCATGTGTCTCATACTACAGCTGTGCCAGATGTCTCCACTTACCACTATGACGAAAGCTCTGGCTACTATTATGACCCATTCACAGGTCTCTACTATGACCCTAATTCACAGGTAAGCAGCCCATGGTAACTCTAAAGCAATCTATATGTTTTGTAGGACATTTGTGTGTGTGTGTTTCGCTTATGCCCCTTGGTATTTCAATCTGTTTTTGCATTTCCCTTTGTCTTTGCAGTACTACTACAACTCTCACACTCAGCAGTACATGTACTGGGATGGAGAGAAACATACCTACATTCCTGCTGCCAGTCAGTCAAACACAGAAGGTGCTCCTCCAAGTGATGGTGCAGCTCCTTCAGAATCACTGTTTGCTACCTCTGGCAGCAAGGAGAAAAAAGACAAACCCAAGAATAAAACGGCTCAACAGGTGCTGATACACAGAAGTCAGCGTTCGGACATTATCATTTCTGGTTTAACAAATATATCTGCTAATGGCTAATTGAAGTTAGATTTCATAATTTGCCACCCATTCAGTTTGACACTTAAAATATGTAGTTAAGTAATTTTTAACTGAGTTTCTTGTGGTTTGTTATAATAGATTGCCAAAGACATGGAGCGTTGGGCTAAAAGTCTCAACAGACAAAAGGAGAACATGCGTTCTGTGTCTTCATCCCCTGCCACCGGCTCAGCAGCACCTCCTGGTTATACTCGGGCACCTGGACACAGTCGCCTAGATGATCACAGGGAGTCTGCGAGTGCTGATGCAGGCTATGCTGTTCTAGAGAAAAAGGTGTGTTTTATCTGTAAATGTCTGAACCCTCAGGGCACGAGGTTGTGATAGTGACTGTCTCTGAATCATAGACGCAGATATGAACAGATCACTGAATCAATGGTTTTCTGTCTTCCAGGGGGCACTGTCTGAACGGCCTCAGATTTTTTTGGATCAGATCCGCCAAAGTGCAGAAGTAAGGAAGTGGGAGAGAGAGATTTTGTAGGTGTTAGAGGTGTACATTTTCTTTATTTTCTTCTTTTTATTTTTCCCAGTCGCCTCCTCGGCAGCAGGGTCTGGTCCCAGCCTACAGTGGAGAAACTGACAGTGAAGAAGAAGGAGGCGAGAAGGATGAAAAGGAAGGAAGATTGACAGACTGGGTTAAACTGGCCTGTCTGCTGTGTAGGAGGCAGTTCCCAAGCAAGGAGGCCCTCATCAGGCACCAGCAGCTTTCTGAACTACATAAGGTGGTTTAAATCAAGTTTTACTTCATCATAAAAACTCTACAAATGATAAGTAGCATCAGTGCTCTGTTGAGGAGCAACAACATACATTCTGCACTCGTGTGCACAAGTACTGAGGCACACCACCAGCTGCTGTTATTGGTGATTAAAGGCACAATTGTGAAATTGGAGAATTTGAAAGTGGGCAGATGCAGGTGCATACATGTGCTTATTATGCACTAAAGCAAGTTGAATTTGGTTTCTGGCTTCTAAAGCCTGAAAGCAGAGCCTATAAATGAAGATCTTATTTATTTTAATCTGTCCAGTGAAGCAAGGTCACCTTAATCTACTTTTTAACAGCCGTCCATTCAGATTCAGTTTTACAGGGTGTGTAAACTGAACGTTGCATATAAGACCTTTGTGCACAATACGAGTGTAAAATCCAGTTTGGCATTCCTGTTGCAGCTGTGACTTGAATTTCACTTCTTTGTGCCCTCAGCAAAACCTGGAGCAGAGACGAGCCCAGCAGGAAGCTGCAAGCAAAGAGGTTGGTCAGTCCTCCACATCTGCAGAATAATGTTGAAATTCGTGTTTCTTTTAAAATAATTTTATCTTGTCTTTTTGCAGAGACTAGCAGGTGGACTTGACGGTCCTGAACTTAAGAAGAGGAAGTTTAACCCCATGTAAGGAAGCAGCAGTGATGCCACTAACTAGACGCTGTATGTTTTTTTGCAACTTATTCAGGGTTACAGCTTGCTATTGACACTGCCATGGACTGGTTCCTTTTTTGCTTTAGTTTTATTCTAGTTACAGCTTTGTGTGGCGGTGATGTTGGTGCAACTGTATAACTTAACTATGATGTATGTGACACAACTTATTTGTACTTGTGTGTCCCCTTATACTTTTTGTTTTCTTCCTGTAGTGATGGGGTCACAGACACTAGTCTCGGTGCAAGAATGCTACAGGGAGGTGTGAAAAGAGGACTGCTGTTGCGCAATATGCAAGTGGAGTGACCATTAATCTTCCTGACCCACAAAGGACAAAGACGAAGCCCAGCACGCAACACTTCACCATTAACATCATATAGATAAATATATTTAAAAAACTTATTTTGATTTGACATTAGTTACCTCAACAATGGCAGTGCTCAGTGGTAATAATCTTATGAACTGATCCTGTAGCAGTAGATGTCAGGATATTGCACAGATTGCACCTTTTTGCTTGCTTCCTGAATGATGCAGTTTTGAGTTCTCACTTGCTTCAGAGCCTGTGTGTGTGTGATAAACAAGTTTTGTGGACGGGAAAACATTTGCGGTCTTTATGTCAGCAAATTGGGATTTTTAATATTACTGTCTATGCACCATAGATTTTTTTTTTTAAATTAATGCTATATGCCTTGTCATTCAGTGAATGACTAATCTGGGCTTGAACTGTGTACATTTTAAAAAGAGCATTTTTATACAACAGTGAAAGCTAACAAACTCGTGGCCTCATGAATTGGACAGGATCGTGCTAACACTAGTGTATAGGGTTAAAGTGTCTCAGTTTATCATATAGCAGGTGTAGATTCACATTCGCTAACTTTTCAGAGACGTATTTTTTATTTCTGTATTTGTTCAGTAATGTGACCGTGTTTCATCAAGCTCATGTAAATGAATTCAAAATAATACATTTTCACCAATATTGACTCGTGTATTGTGTGGGCTAGTCAGTAAACTGTAGCTAATATGTCAACATTTTGCATTGAAATTTCCAAAGCTGTTTATCCGCACAAAAAGAGGAATGTAATGTGACTGTTGGCATCGGGTTTGTAAAGCAACACTGAAATGGTGAAACTGTATCGCTGTTGCAAACTACGTTTCCTTAAATTAATTGTGCTCCGGTTACTGCGGAATGGTTTCTATGGTGATCAGCAACAAATCCAGTCGTCGGTTTGCTGAGAGCCATCGGAGAAAAAACACTTGGATTACCTGTAATAACCAATAAACTTAGCTGTCTTTCCTTCATATTACGTTGGGAGGTAACATTCATAGTATGTCATTCACCGTGTCTGCATGTGTTGGCAGTTCTAACATAAATGTACAAGGCTAAACACTGTAAACAGATAGCTAGCTTGGTCGGGCAGCAGTCACAAAATAAGCAAGTTAGCTGGTTGGAAATCCTGTTGCAGTTCTCTAATCCGCTCTTCAGCTGGTCTGTAACTAGTCAAATTATAAGGCTTACTAATCGGGATGTCTGACTTTGACGAAGACCCAGTATTATCGGATGTTGAAGGAGGAGAAGAACACCTTAAAGAAGCCGAAGATGAGAAGGTATGAAAGTAAATGGGGGGCATGTGCCGAGCATATTTACAGCTGACTCGTACATGTTAGCTCATATCTCTGTGCTGTTAATTTGGTATGAATCACGTGCCTCGCCCTGATTACCCAAACAGACTCAAGGTAATGTCTTTGATAAAGTTGGAGCGTTTACTCGTGTGTGTGCACCAACCCCCTACACAGGGTATTTTCTGGGCATATTAGTAATAGGTCACTAGTTTCCAAAAGAGGCCCAGCTTATTGTAAAGTGCTCCTACAAGTGGTTTTGAAGCTCTTCCATGTCTAAATTCTAGTTGTTGACTAATTAGTGACAGTTTGAGCCTTGGGAGTGGCCCTGCTCTGCTGGCGGTTTTACTAACATGGATTAAGCCTAGTCTTAGAATAAAAACATTTATCAATGAAGATCTTTATTTTTTTCTGACGGTAGGCTTGTCCGGGAAACTGTCTTGGCAAAACGGTCAAATCAGTGGCTAGTAATTTGTTGGTCCATTACTATCCAGATATAGCTTGGGTAAGAGAAGACTTTTGAATGTTAATTCTATGTGGCATAGGTTCAACACGGTGTTGGAAACATTCCTCACAGATTTTGGTTGATATATTGACGTGACAGCATCACACAGTTGCAAATTTGTCAGCTGCACATCCATGATTATACACGCCAAGGTGCTTTATTGGATTCATCTTCAAGGGACCACTCTCAAATTATATGAGCTTTGTGACATTGCACGCCATCTACCCGAAAGCACCCAGTAGAAGATGAGTACATAAAGAGCCATTGTCAGCAATGACTGTTGATACAAGAGAGACTGAATCCATGCTTTCATGTTGGTTACACCAGTTTCTGACCCTGTCATTCAATGCTGTAGCAGAAATCAAGACTCAACATTTTCCAATATTTTGTTGTCCAATTTTGTGAATCTAAATTCAGATTCAGTTTCTTACTCGCAGGTGACAGGAGTGGAGCTCAGTGTGGTCTTCTGCTGCTCTTGCCCATCCTCTTCAAGGTTCAACATGTGATGCATTCAAAAATGCTCTTCTGTATATTTTGGTCGTCATGTGGGATTATTTGAGTTACTGTAGCCAACTCAAAGCAGTCTGGCCATTCTTCTCTGACCTCTGAGATCAACAAGAAACTTTTGCTTACTGGATATTTTCTCTTTTTTGGACTACTCTCTGTAAACCCTAGAAATATTTGTGTGGGAAAATCCTGGTAGATCAGCAGTTTCTAAAATACTCAAACCAGCCTGCCTGGCACCAAGAACCGTGCCACATTCAATGTCAGTTTTCTTCCCCAATCCTTTGCCCAGTTTCAGTTTCACTGGGTCGTTTCAGCCACTGACTGGGTTGTCTTAACTCTGTATGTATGCCTAAATACATTGAGTTGGTGCCATTTGATTGGCTGATTAGATACTTACCCTAATGAGCAGTTGAACAGGTGTACCGAACAAAGTGGCTAGCCTGACCTTCACCTTACATGATAACTTGCTGTCATTGGTTTATCATTGTGCAATTTAAGCTGTCATTCATTTTGTGTTTTGAATAAAATACAGTTGCAGTGCTTTTGTCGTTTCTGTGTTGAAGCCACTAGCCTTTCATTTATATCTCATTTTTGTACAGGTTGAAGTTCAACATTTAACTCAAGAAATCATAAGTGAAGGGCTGTCATTGCTTTGCCGAACAGGAAATGGATTAGCACACGCATTTGTCAAGCTGAACCTTCAGAAAAGGTAATTAGAGAAAGATGCCCGCAGAGCAAAACTGTTCTGTTAACTTGAACGAGTTTCTTCTGATTCAAACCAGTTTTCTTCACCCTTAGAGGACTGGAGGATATAGCTGCAATCAACAGTTATATTCACATACGTTTTCTGGATTTATCCAACAACCACCTTACTGATCTTTCTCCTTTGTCATCTCTGACCCAGCTTCTTTGGCTCAAGGCAAGAAGAAATTCCTTATGCATTTAGTTAGGGACATCTTTGTGGCTGTCAGTAAGAATCCCTTTAATTACGTTTATTGAATGTAATTCGTCTTTTGTAGGTCAACAATAATTCTGTGATGTGCTTCAAAGAGCAACCGTTTGCTCAACTGACCTACCTGCAGTGGCTGAGTATAGCAATGAATCAGCTAACTGATGTAGATGGCCTAGTTGGGCCTGCCTTGGAAAGCCTCAATCTTACAGGTTGGTTTATTGGTTTTACGTCAGGTAAAGTGGAATGAATTTATTCAGCTAATCTGGCGATCTCTACGGCAAGGTCAGTCAAGTAAGAAACAGTTAATAGTTGGGTCCCTTATCCAAGCCGCAGAAGTTCTTGCAAGTATAATAAAATACGTTAAGCGAAAGATATTGTCACTGTTATTTGATATAAATAGTTGTTCCTGCAAAAAGATGGGAATTTACTATTCCACATGTTATCACTGTTAAAAGCAATATTTGACTTAACTGAAGATGCCAACAAACCTTGTTTGCAGGTAACCATATTCAGAGGCTTAATGGTTTCCAGTACGGCAGTTTTGCAAATCTGGTAACTCTAGAGTTGAGGGGAAATCACTTGGAAACCACTGATGGCATCAACCTTCCACATCTCCAGCAATTGTATCTGGTACACAAAGTATCTTGGTTTGGTTATTAACACAGACATGATTGATTAAGTTAATCCTTCACCACCACACTAATCCCCATGTAATAAACCAGGTACCTGGTTGCTTGTGACTAGTCTTGCTTTCTGTCTAGGCCCAAAATGCTATCAAACGTCTTGAGGGTTTGGAGAAGTTAGAGCGCCTCACCACACTTCACCTTCGAGACAATCAGCTAGAGTCGCTCGACGGCCTCAGTCCCAGCATGAAGTGTCTTCAGTACCTCAATGCCAGGTGCATGCAGTCACATGGAAAACTTCAGTCCTGTGAGAGACTAAGTAGACACCATAATTAACTAGATGTAACTTGAAGTAATTGTGTATGACTTAATCAGTCTCTTACATTGTGGAGGAATTTTGGTTCTTTACAACATTGCTTCAGTTCGTTGGGGTTTGGGGGCATTTGTTTATGAACATCTCTCTTAAGGTTCTGTCAAAGCATTTCACTGAGACTGAAGTCTTGACTTTGACTGGGACATTGCAACACTGTGGCAAAACATTTTCTTTTCCAGACATTCTGTTGTAGATTTGCTGCTGTGCTTGGGACTGTTGTCCTAAAAAGTTTGTGTTTCACTGAATGATTGCAAGGTGCCCAGGTCCTATGGCTACAAAACAGGCCCAAATCATCACTCTCCACCACCATGATTGACAGTTGACCTGAGGTGTTTGTCCTAATAAGTTATGTTTGGTTTTCACCACAAATAGTGCTATGCATTACAGGCAAACATTTTCACTTTTTTCATGTCTTTCCAAAGGACATTGTTTCACAAGTCTTCCGGTTTGTTCAATGCAGCTTTGCAAATCTAAGCTGTGTTGCCAAGTTTTGTTTTGTTTTTTAGAAGGAACAGACTTTTTCTTGACAATTCTTCCAATTAAGCTGTACTTGATCATTCTTTTTTGTCACAAATTGATCAACTCAGTGAATCAAGTGCAATTTGAGTAGTAGCTCTTGGCTGCTACTTACCTTCTTAATTCCAATGGAAGCAGTTATGTTGTACTTAGTTTTTCACAGCCCTGCAGAAAGTCCTATGGATAACTTTATTTTTCACATGACTGCAATGTGTTGTAACAATAAAGATCAGTCATAATAACGCTTCCAATAATCCAGTCAGTAAAAAACAAAACATGGTATTAATCCCATAATTTGTCTTCTTTCTCCCTTAGAGGCAATGCAATCATAGATGAGACTGCTCTACGATACATCGGCTTTCTGTCACAAAGCCTTCGTGTGTTGGTTCTCTCTGGGAACCCAGTCGCGGAAAATTCCGAATACCGGATAAATGTGCTGATAGTAGTGCCACAGCTGGAAAGACTCGACAAAAATCCTGTCTTCCCCGAGGAGAGAGCTGAAGCCTGGGAAAGAATCAGGGTAACAAAAAACAAAATATTTTTTTATTTTTGGTTTTATTTTTTACCCTTTTGATTGAGTGACATTGTGTAATTTCAGGAACTTCAAGAAGAGGAAATGTATGCACAATAAGATGTGTAATTTTGCCAGAATGGGGAAGTGTTGGACTGACTTCATTTTTTCTTTTTAAAGAAAAAATGAAGTCTGTTGTCTGTTGATGAATGACCACATACACCTCTGTATGAAGTACTCTGTTTGATAGAGTAGCTCAATCATCCATGACTTTGCACAAAAGTGTTTTTCATTTCCATACACTCATTGTTACAGCTGAGCTATTTTTAAACAATAAAGTTTTAGAAAATGTTTATTTCTGATGTGTCTAAATGCAAAAATGACAACCGATGCAAGCTGAAGTGACTCTGGCTAGTACCTTGTGCCTTAGTACCTTGTATTGTTCATAGACGGTGGTGTTAGACAGACTCCGTGTGTTTCCCTGAGTAAGGATGAGAGAGCAAAATCTGCCGTCGGCTTCCTTGTTGGCAGCCATCCAGCTACAGTTTTAAGGGGACAGTGACATTATGGGCCTGTGTGGCTAATCAGCAGATTTCGGAATCAGATCCTGCGTTTGTTTGACTGGCATTTAAACACACCATCATCATTGCATAAATATAACCAGGACGTTAACGTCCCACTTGAAGAAAACATTCATATTATAGTAAGTTAAGAAAGCGGTAGTTGTTCGCACATCAGTGCAGTGCAGCTCCACTTGTGGATACCTGTATTTCCCATAAGGGTAGTAGAATAGGGGTCCACGCTTTTGTTACTGTTATTTTGGAAATTTACTGATTTTAATGAAACGAGATCGGCATGAAGCAACATTTGTATCTTGAACACGCTGAGAGGGACTGACGAGGGCGGCTTGAACCACCACTCTCCCTCCAATGGTTTGATTTGGTGGGCGTGGCTGTTTGAGGAAACAAAACCCGTCCTGTGCGACGTCTCCCCCTCCTCTCCTGCACTTAACACCGGGCAGCTAGCAGCTCAGTGGCCCAGCGTTGACACGACGACACCGGGGAAGCAGCCTTCGCACTGAATTAACCACGACTACTACCTGAAGCAGGCAACCATACGTCAGTAAACCATGACTAGCTACCACAAACCCGATGAAAAGACGCTGCAAGGACTGAAGGACGTCGCTAACAAGCTCAGGATCAACTCCATCAAGGCAACATGCGCCTCTAACTCAGGGTAAGTTGTTCAGAGTTGCAAACATTAGCTGGAATATTAAATAAATCCTGTATACAATTAAAAACACACACACATATATATAGTATGTGCTATAAGGTTACTGGGGCGGAGGCGTGCACTACCTCTGGGCCTGGGTGCACGTGCTGCAGATTAAATTCACGCGGTCACCGAGCCACGGCAAGCCGCTAGCAGCAGGTTTGCTACCTGATGTTGTGCGACTGCTCTGCGAAACGTTTTAATAAGTTACGCTGTGACTTGAGGGTAGCCGAGCCCACAGCTATTGCTAAGGCTACCACATGCTAACAGTGTTTGTTTGGTTTTTTTCTCTGCAAAGTAAATGACGGCCTTATTTGCTGGTGGCTAGACTCTTAGGCACTCTAGCCTAGCATACATGCTTGTAACACTTTAAGTCAAGTGGTTATTAACATCAACAGGCGTTTACTAGCTAACAGAAATCACATGATAGGAAAGGATGGATCTCTTGGTTGGGTTGAGGCTGAGTGTTGCTGCTGGCTCCTAGTCTGTTAAATCGCCAGCTTGAGGATATCTGCGTAAAGTATGGTAAGTCTGGGAAATGGCTATTGGGAAGGGGTTTGTGGTAATACTTCATCATAAATATTGGCGTTCCCAGAATGCCAGAATTTTCTTTTTGAGCTATCGCTGATATCTTCCGTGTCGCTGTCGGGAAGTAACCCAATAGGTTGATTCGAGTCCAAGCGGGAAGTAGGAGTTGACGAGGGTGTAGCTTTATAGGGATTAGTGTGAGCGCCCTTTGCTCGGTTAATATTCACTTTTGAGAGCAAATGGATCTATACAAGGGCTACAATATCCAAAACTGAAACCGTAGTTTGTGAGTTGGCGCTAATCAAGTCATGTCATCTACTACATTTCGCATACATCACAACACAACACTTTGTTTAGACTTGTGTGACGCAGACTAAAGCTTAGAGTCGCATATCCTGCTTCATAACATCACATCTGAGACAGAAAAGTGGATGTTGGAATCAAAGAGGCAGTAAAAACCCTCAGCTTTATTTATAGTACATGTCAGCCACCTGGCCAGATGCTTTAGTTTGTGCTTGATTCTCTTACAATTATCCCTCAGCCAGTTGGTGTGCATTGTGCAATTTTTTTATTTCTTTTTCATAATCTCAAATGCAGCCTTAATGGACAGTTGACTAACCTGTTTCCTCTTGTTTCTTGACAAGGAAATGCAGGAGCTTATTCTAACTGTACTATGAGGGCTTTATAAAGATTATATCCCTTTTAAACAAAGGACTTCTTGAGGAGCATTGTTCCTCAACAGTCAAAGTTACACTTGTGCCTCTTTCTTTTCCTTGTGGTTTTTCTGACTGTCCTTCATTTCTCAGCAGGTTGTGTCTCAACAGAAGAACACGTGGTAAACGGAGCATTGAGTTATTTTAAAAGGTTTATGCTGATGTTTGTTCAGATTGGATAATTTGTTCCAAGCATGGTTGATATGCGATTTAACCTGCATAGGGAAGCTGAGATGTGTTGGGCAATGTGGAATTTCTAAATGGTTACAGTACTCGAGACTGTGTAGCAACTAACAGTTTCACAAGATTTTTTTTCCTCTGAAGTGTGGTAACCTGGCTGCCTTCCTGAGGCAGTGATGGTCTAAAATAAATAACAATTAACAATATATGACTTGTGCTAAAGAGCATCATCGTTTGGCATATTAAATGTTTGCTGTGTCTTGTAAAACTAAAACTGAGCGTTTGTTTTTGTGTGTTTTTGTTCTTTTTTTTTTAAGTGCAGCAACACATGCATGTTTATGCACTTTGGGTGGAGTTTCTTTTCTTTCTAACCCGTCGGCATTTATACTGTCACAGTAGCTTTTCTGTTGTTCTCTCTCTCCAGTCATCCCACATCATGTTGCAGTGCAGCTGAGCTCATGTCCGTGCTCTTTTTCCACGCCATGCGCTACAAAGCGGATGATCCTCGCAATCATTGTAACGACCGCTTTGTTCTCTCAAAGGTAGGTGCATATCCTTTAATTGAGATTAATTGCTGTGTATCTGGTCAGCAAACCTGAGATCTGTTAACACTCTCCTTATTGCCAGGGTCATGCTGCACCTGTCCTGTACGCTGCCTGGGCAGAGGCAGGTTTTGTGAAAGAGTCTGAGCTGGTTAACCTGCGTAAGATTGATTCTGACTTGGAGGGACACCCCACACCAGTGAGTCGGGAATCTTGAGACCCATTCTGTTCATTATTATTTTTTATTTTTATTTTTTTGGAAGAAAAAGACAAAATTGTGTGCAAGCCACTCTCTGTATGATGTACAACTCCCCTTCTTTCCAATTCTTCTTTTCAAACACAGAAATTGGCTTTTGTTGATGTAGCTACTGGATCTCTGGGACAGGGTCTTGGGGCTGCATGTGGGATGGCCTATACCGGCAAATACCTTGACAAATCCAGGTCAGTGTGTTTATGTATCCGTGTCAAATCATAAGACTGCCAAACATTTCTTTAAAACTTGCACAGGGTTACCTGAAATATTTTTGCACAGTGGTCAGTGTGTGGTGTTAATCTAAAGTGGATGCTTTATACTCACATTTGCTCAAGACTACTTAAAAGTAGTCTTATTTACTCTAACTAGGAAGTTTCTTCAGTGGTGAAATCCTGTTACTGTGGTTGTGGTGTTGTTGTTGTTGTTGTCAAGCATAATCTGTTGCACTGCAGCAACAGAAAAGTTCTCAAAGTAGATATTATGGAAATTCTCATGTCTGTTATTAACTGACTGTGTTGTAGTTATCGTGTGTACTGCATGCTGGGAGATGGCGAGTGCTCAGAGGGCTCAGTTTGGGAGGCCATGGCCTTTGGTTCCCACTACCAGCTGGACAACCTGGTGGCTATCCTGGATGTTAATCGGCTTGGTCAGAGTGAGCCAGCGCCTCTGAAGCACGACATGGAGATCTACCGCAAACGTTGTGAAGCCTTTGGGTCAGCACGTGCATTTATCTCGGCTCATAACCTGTAGAAACAAACTGTCCAAACTTGACCTTATTATTTGTCTTTCCCTGTATCTGTCTGCTTTTTGATGGTCTACAGACATGTTCAGATGTTAATAACATTCTATGTGTGTAGGTGGAACACGTATGTTGTGGATGGACATGATGTGGAGGAGCTGTGCAAAGCTTTCTGGCAGGCTCAGCAGGTCAAAGGCAAACCGACCTGCATTGTTGCCAAGACATTCAAGGGCAGAGGCCTCAAAGGTTGGTGTGAATAACTTTTTTGTATCTAGTTAGAACTGTTCTCTGAATTTTAAACATGACTTATTTGCCACTTAACTGTAGGTATTGAGGATTTGGAGAACTGGCATGGAAAGCCGATCCCCAAGGACCGGGTGGATGAAATCCTGAATGATCTGCAGTCACTGATCCAGGTGCCCAACAAAACTCTCTGCCCTGATCTGCCCAATGAGGACACAGCGCCAGCTGACCTTAGCCCCATCTCACTGCCTTCACCTCCAGAATACAAGAAGGGAGACAAGGTACCTTCAGAGTTGCTTGTTTGCGTCTAGTTTTAGTTTTTGAGTATTGGATCTTTTGGAGTAATGGGTCCAAAGTCACTCAACACTGAGTGGTCAGCAGTTTAAAGTTTACCGATACAGTTGTCAGCATGAATCTTATTTAGCACGAGTGGTGGCTTTGTTTCATTACTAATATGGCACAAAAACACCACCTGGAACACTTGTCCACACTTAAGGGTCTTTATATAATAAATTAAATATAAATATCCACTTTCCTTTGCTTTTTGTCTGCTCAGCCACATGCAAACTCCTGCTAGGTTAAAGATATCGAAAAATGTTGCAGTGTTTACCTGTAGATACAGCAGAGACACGGACATCAGTATTCACTAGCAAATTTTTCTTATCTAGGGATGTAGTTGATTAGAAAACTAGTTTAAAGTTTGCCATCCTGGTTAGTGGACACCAGAAACTAAAAGGTTAAACAAATTTTTCACAATTTAATGTAGAATTTGCTTAAACCTTGGGACTGAGTTACTGAGCTGTTGTACACCAGAATTGTGAAATTGGAACAGTTTGGCACTATTTTAACCTCGAAAGAAACTGGTGAATTTGGGCTGGGTCAAATCATTATGGCTTAACTAAAGTGTGCATATCCACAATAACCTGGAATAAGAGAAGACGGGTGCTACTAGCACTGCTAACATGACCCCCACTCTGCAGTTATCTAGTAATGGCATCATGTGCAGTATTGTGCAATGTTAACCTCTTCAAATACCTTTGAAGAGCACACATGCAGTATTTGTACAGACGGTGTGTACAGGGCTTAAAATCTTCCATGACTGAATCCCGGTGTGCTTTTTTTCTATTGCACTGTTTTATATCCCCATACATGTCAGAGCTGGAAGATTAAGCACATTTTAACTGTCATTATGATTTTGTCTTTGAATGATTGTGAAAACCGTTCACGTTTTTGTTCCTATGATATAAAGAGGGTGCACCAGTTTCTACAGCAGTACAACTTTCTTCAGCTGGAAGTAAATCTCAGACTTTCCACACATGAACCTGTGAAACATCGGATGTAGTTTGCTTTTTGCAGCTTTTGCTAACTGCGGGGGTGATGCTGTCTGAAATGAACATGATTTCAAAACTGATGTGTGTGAATTATTGTGACTGTGCAGAATATTGTGCTGCTCATCATGTTGGTAAAGGTTCTTTTTCACATGTATGTGTTAAAGTGGATATAGCTAAGCATAGCAATCAAGGCTGTTTGTTGCTTAACCCGTTGTATTTTCTGTTAGATGGCAACAAGGCAGGCATATGGTGTGGCACTGAAAAAACTGGGCCAGGCAAGCCAGAGAGTGGTGGCACTCGACGGAGACACCAAAAACTCTACTTTCTCAGAGACCTTCAAGAAAGCCTTCCCTGATCGCTACATCGAGTGTTTCATCGCTGAACAGAATATGGTAAACGATCCTTCAGTGCTCAGGCTGATTTATGCTAACTATTAGTCAACCTATTGATCCTGGAACCCTGTCACAGTTATGAGAGACTGGTACCTGGTTTGCTCACATTCACACGATAATCTGTCCTCTCTGCTGCTTCTCATTTGTGCCCAGCTGACTTTGCACTTAGACCCTTACTAACCACATCCACTGTCATTTTAAACTAAATGGTGTTGCTGATGTCTCCTTACTACCGCAGGTAGGAGTGGCTATTGGCTGTGCCAGCCGTGACCGCACTGTTGCATTTGCCAGCACATTTGCAGCATTTTTCTCCAGGGCCTATGACCAGATTCGTATGGGAGCAATCTCTCAGACGAATGTCAACCTGGTAGGGTCTCACTGCGGAGTCTCCATCGGTAAGCTTTTCATCTGCTGGATTTCTAGTGAGCAGTGCAGGTGTGAGTGTCTGTCATCCACTCATTGTATTCTGGCTTCAGGTGAGGACGGTCCGTCCCAGATGGCGCTTGAGGACTTGGCCATGTTCCGCGCCATCCCAACATGTACTGTGTTTTACCCCAGTGACGCAGTGTCCACAGAGAGAGCTGTTGAACTGTCATCCAACACAAAGGTTGGTGGCCACCTTGTGGTAGCTTGATGTCTTCATCCTGTTGGAGAGCACTCAATATATTGTAATGCACTTTCCATTTTCAGGGTATATGTTTCATTCGTACAAGTAGACCAGCCACTGCAGTCATCTATTCCCCAGATGAGAAGTTTGAAGTGGGTGTAGCCAAGGTAACTTTTTTTAATCGCTTTTTGTTATAAATCTAATGCAGTCAGTCTTCATACCAAAATGCCCACCCCAAAAATGTTTATACATCTATCCCTGTGGTCAGGTGGTTCGCCAGTCTGATGATGACCAGGTGACTGTCATTGGAGCTGGTGTTACTCTGCACGAGGCCCTTGCTGCTGCTGATACGCTGGCTGCTAAAGGTAACCCACACTGCCCTCTAGTGTGCACGTGCTGGTATTGTTATGAGGACACACAGGGCTTAATGCAGGGACTCCTCAACTGAACCACTATAGCCTCTATAAACCTGTAAATTTCCTTATGCATTCTTATAGGAAAGAACATCCGTGTGATTGACCCATTCACCATCAAGCCCCTGGATGCTGCTACCATTCTGGCCAGTGCCCGAGCAACAAGGGGACAGATCATCACTGTGGAGGACCACTACAAGGAGGGTAGGTGGAGTTGATGCGTTTGAGTCTGTGCATACAGAAAGCATGTTTGTGAAAGGGCAGGAATTTTCTTATGGAGGCAACAATTATGGCTCCTAGACGTTAGATGGGTTTGGTTTTAAAAAAACAAAACACAACTTGAATAAAGGAGCATCATATCATGATTTGCTGTGTTGTAATTTAAAAGAAATGCCAACATCACTTTTATGCATTCATTCCTTTTGACGGTCCTCCTTTGTCCAGGTGGTCTCGGTGAAGCGGTGCTGTCAGCAGTGGGAAGTGAGCCTGGTATTGTTGTGACACGTCTGGCAGTGACTGGTGTTCCCCGCAGTGGAAAGCCTCAAGAGCTTCTGGACATCTTTGGCATCAGTGCTAAGTATATTGCCGAAGCTGTGACTCAGACCTTCGCAAACTAAGAACTGCACTTCATTTTCCCTTCTCGTTTTTGTTTTAAATCACAACAAACTTGCAGCTGCCAGGAACAACCATGGAAAACCTAACTTTCAGTTCCTACTTGAGTTGTGCTAACCCTGTATTAATATCAGAGATGAAGGGAGATGAGTGCAGTGCGGTCATAGCCTGTAGTGCTGATGGTACTCCCCTATGTGCACCTCTTAGTATCCTTGCCTCCAGATGGGTTCTGCCGTTTGCTGTTATACATGTTTTCAGAGTCTTGTAAGGTGCACAGTTAAAAGCATCACTGAATACTGTACTTAAAGTGTTATGCTGATAGATGAAAAGCCCATCATACAGCAATGTGTCCTAGTGATGAGCTTCAACATCTGTGGCACCAGCCATCAATGCTTTCACATTCCTGGCAAGCATTCCTATTGTCCTCCCTCTCAGCTGGTAGCGCTGTTACTGCTCGTCATATTATCATTTACTAGATTACTTTTGTAATTGTGTTCAGTAACTGCCTTCAGTGCTTGGCTATTCCGTTTTTAAACATCCCACTGTCTCCTGACCACACGGGTGTTGCACAACATTTCCAGCGCTTAAGGTCACAGAGATGCTATTACTGCTGTAGTGTGAATTAAAAATAATTCTCCCAATGCTGTTTGTCTGTGCTTATTTATATAAGCCGAGGCCAAAGTGTGGACCAGCAGTCGCAAAGTAAATGTCAACAATGAAAGTTTCCACTGGTTCTCTCTCACTCACACACACACACACACACACACACACACACACACACACACACACACACACTCTCTCTCGAAAAATGAATTGGTGTAGTAATTAAGTTATAAAGGATCAAAAATGATAATTTATTCAGTGTGAAGGTGAAAATATGAATGGCTTCATTTTAAACAAACTTAAGTTAGTCTATAAATTACAGAAGTGGATTCTGAAGGGCTCACGTGAAGTGATATCTGGACCCTAAACAGGTTGCACAGTTAGTCCCACCCCTGCAGGAGGCCACATCAACATGTGGTATTGCTAGAAGGTTTGCTGTGTTTTCTACCACAGAGTATGGAGCAGAATCCAGGAGACAAAGTTCATGTAACATTTTAAGCTTGACCAGTTCTGTGGTGTGTAAGTAGTCATCCAGGAAGGCATTTATACACACACCTACCTAACTACAGGCTCGGCAACCGCACCCTGACTGCCTTTACTTATCAAGATGAAATCCTTAAACCTATTGTTACACTGGTGCAGTGGGTCCTGGGTTCCTTCATACTCTAAGCCTCCACACTTGCCTCACCTAAATCCAACAGAACACATCTGGCATATCATGTGTCATTTTCATTGCCCCTAAACCAGACCTTCCCAAAGTGTGGGGCCTGCCCCCTGGGGGGGCACGGAATGAAAAGGGGGGAAAAATAAACAACGCTTGGACACAACTAGCCTGGGGCTCCAACACAAACGCAAAGACACAGGAAAAAAGCAACTACACGTAAAATAATCACACTGTGACGCCTCTGCCTTTGTAAATGGAGGGACAGTAACTGCGTGTGAACCTGCAGATAGACAAAATACTGTTAATCTGACTGTCTGCTCTTCATCTCATGTAAACAATAACGTGGTGCACAGCATGATGGGAAAAAGGCGCATACCTTTAACTTTGTGTGATGAGCTCTGTATTCCTCGTCCACACGTAAACGCAAATGAGTTAAAAAAATCTCAGTTTTCGGTGATTCGAAACGCCGTTTACGTGAACGGCTGCATGTTCAAAAACACCCGTGTAGGTGCGGACATAGTTTATTTTCGTACTACCTGCAGGTTACTTGTATTTGCTTAATTGTTACTAAATGTTTGAGGTGTGAAATAAACCGCAACTGAGCAAAATGTGTGCGTGGAGGATGTGTTAGTGTGTGTGGTTGGAGGATGTGTTAGTGTGTGGTTGGAGGATGTGTTAGTGTGTGGTTGGAGGATGTGTTAGTGTGTGCGTGGAGGATGTGTTAGTGTGTGCGTGTGCGCGCGAACATTTTTCTGTAAAAGGGGGGCCCAGCAAAAAAAGTTTGGGAGCCACTGCTCTAAACAATGCGCCGTTCTTTGTTCCTAACTCATTAGGTACTTTTTTAAATAAAAGTGAAATGGTAAATATTTGTAAAGCGCTTTACTTCGTCCCCATGGACCCCAAAGCGCTTTACACATCCAGTCATCCACCCATTAATACACTGGTGCTACATCGTAGCCACAGCTACCCTGGGGCGCACTGACAGAGGCGAGGCTGCCCCACACTGGCGCCACCGGGCCCTCTGACCACCACCAGTAGGCATCAGGTGAAGTGTCTTGCCTGAGGACACAATGACCAAGGCTGTCGGAGCCGGGGCTCGAACCGGCAACCTTCCGATTACAAGGCGACCTCCCAACTCTTGAGCCACGATCGCCTTGATAAACATATCTGATTTGAAATGCCGTTCAGTTGTGAGCATAAAAGCTTCGTTATTTCAGTAACTGCCTCACTGTAACCTCAGATGCTTCATGACTGCAGATGTTTCGTTTATTACATTTAGCATTTGGCAAACTGGTGTCAGAGATGTTACAAAGCTGGAAGCGGTCATGCTGACTTTAACATATTCCTTCAGAGTGAAAAGAAAGCAAAGATTAACTTGGTCATCCGCAGGAAGGATAATAAAACATGCGCTGTTTCTTAAACATGTAAGTGTAGTCAGAGAAGTAAGCTTAGCGTTTATGCTGGGTGTCCTCAACTCCTCATCTCTTTGTTGCTGTGGAAATTCAGGGTGTTGTCACACTCAAGGAAGGGGTTGAATGTGGTCTGTAGATGACAGCGTGCTCCTGTCGAGATATAAAAATGAATCGTCTTTGGAAACGTTGCTGTTTACTTTGGAGGAGCACATGAGGGCCTGACTGTTTCAGTGTTTAGTGTCAACTTGTCCAGAGTGCCATTTGGAATATGTCTGGATTCTGCTGCTGTCTCATCAGTTACTCTTCAGGTGTGGAAAAACACCAAAAAAGCATAATCTGCAGATTTGATTGCATATTACAGTAGTAGTGTTCATTTAAGAAGATGTTTTGAAGCACAGTCGACTGAATGTAATGTTTGTGTATGTGTAAATGCGGGGACCAAACATTGGAAAGTTGCTCTACTTGTGGGGACCAACAGTCACTTATGGGGACAAAATGCCCTATGAGTTTGAAGACAGGGTTAGGATAAGTGTAAGCAGCTAGGGAAAGCAATATGTCAATTAGATGTCCACACGAAGATATGAAAACACGACTGTGTGTGTCTGCTGAGCAAATAAAGAGGTTTCACCCCACAGTGAACATCCCAGTTTGGCTCCACACTCAGTAAGGGGCAGACGGCGAGTGTGAGGATGTACACACTCCGCCGTCGATGTGCAGAATGTAAAGACGTCCTCACTTTTTATTACTCAGAGTTCATGTTTGACTTCAGACATAGATGCTGGCGGAGGTTTGCCAAACAAGGTTGCCTCCGACTGGGACTGTGTACCAACCGTCTGCTCTTGGACAAGGTCTGCTATACTCATCCTAACATTCTGATGCCCTCCAGAAAAAGCACAAAAGTGACAGCGGTTTACAAAAACGCATTTGTCAAATCACAACAGAATGTACGACTAAAATCTATCACCAGTGTGCCAAAGTTACTGCGCTCCAGTATCACCCCCCACCGTCCTGTCAGCGTCTCTCCTCCAGGAGAGAAAAAAGCTGTTCCACGTAATGTTCGCAGACAGTTATGAAGTGGAGACAAGGAGGAGCAGGGTGTGTCTGTATTTCACGGTACAACAATCGAGGCTCTTTATTAACACTGAGAGAATTTATTTTTTTACCTCTCCGCCTGCTGGATGTCCCTTCCCGCTTTCTCTCTCTTTCTTCATTTTAACATTTACTCTGAGCAGCGAGCGCGTGCAATATGTTTGACCACTGCTCCAAGGTGACTCAGAACAGAAGGGAAACCACAGCGTTTACTCTGCATTCATAAAGCTCCAGGGTTTACTGAAGAACTGTCTGCTTGTCTTTAAGTAGACTTCTAACCATCTGCGCTTCCTGCTCTGATGCTTCTTCTTGCCTTCAGCTCTGAGGATTAGAAATTAAACCCTTTGGGCTTCTCTGCATTTGAAAAAAGCTTGATTTGAGTATAAATATACAGCAATGCAAATGCCATGGACATGGATCGTGTTCATCTGTCTGAGTGGAATAGTTTCATCAGAACAAAACTTGGACTCTTGGCATGACGTGGATGCATTAATGGAAGTCTCCGCTGAGATATCTGAACTAGAAATAGCACCCGTTCCTTCGCCAAGGATCGACGCAGGGGTGACAGTGTCGGGTGCACACACTGCTGGTAAGTTTTTAAAGTCTGCCCACTTTTGTCTGCACGCTCTTGGCTAATAAACACTTAATAACTGAGAATTTTAACCGCACAGAGGATTAAAAATCGAACAGTGTATTCCTTCATGACTGCATTTTTGGTTTGATTTATGTTTTCTGTTACCCTGGTGAAGAAGAGAGTGCCAATGAGCATCTCCAAGCAAATGCTGAGAAAGTGATCAAGCAGGAAAAACATGGCTCTGGAAACCTGGAGGCGATCAGAAGAAGGAGAAGTGCCTGGGGGAAGAGGAAGCATGCAGCCACAGTGGAGTCCATCGCATATAGAATAGTATGATGAGACACACAATCATATTACACCATCTTTTAGGTCATGTCGCTGTCCTGTCTGGCAGCTTTTGCAATCAGATTTTATGATCTGAATTGTTGTGCCGAACACATTTTGCTTTTCCAAGATAAGCTCTAAAAATTCCCTAAAGGCTCCTCTTCTTCATGTGTTTCTTTTATCTGCCTATTTATTCATTTCTATTCGTGTTGTTTCAGTTATCAGAGTATATGTGTAGTACGACAATGTCTAAGCTGACAGGCGGGGGGGGAAGGAAGGCAGTCGAAAATAGGAGTGAACATATAACAAAAGGATAGAGCACAAACAGAAAAGCACGGTGTACTGCAACTGGTGCACCTGTCAGAGACAAAACAAAAAGAAGAAACATGCAGCACCTGTAACACACAGTCCTTATGTGAGACTTGTCTCTGTTTCCAGTAATTAATTCCAGTAATGGTCTCCTGCTACTTTCTGTAGGCGGGTTTGGGGCGACCCGTTGGCGGCTGGAGAAAGCCTGGAAAAGGAGGGGAGGACAGCAACGCTCTTATGGCTGCACTCAGGGAACTCCACGCTGAGAAGAAAAGGCTGATGGATCTCAGGAAAGCACGAGAGGAGGAGGATGATGAGGAGGAGGACGATGACGATGAAGACGACGATGAAGACGACGATGAAGACGACGACGATGATGATGAAGAGGAGGAGGAAGAAGAAGAGGTTATAGTTTGTAATATTAGTTATCTTTTTTAACTTGTCTTATTTACTTACTGATTTGCTGGGTAATTAAATGTTGTTCTTTTCTTCCAAGGAGGAAGAAGAAGAAGAGGAAGAGGAGGAGGAGGAAGAAGAAGAAGAAGAAGCAGAGGAAGAACCGACTGAGTCGCCCAGCAATCAAACAGAAACGGTTTCTAACTTTATAGTTGCCTGTTACATATTACATAATTTCCTTGGGCATTAATAAAGTTTTGTGATTCTGATTCTATTAAGTGTCAGAGCACTGAGAGAGAGATCAGCTGCAGGGGCATCGGCATTACTCACCTGCCAAGTTTCCAAAATCTTGAAGCCACGACGGTGGATTTAGCAGGTATGTGTATATCTACAGCTGTAGTCAAAGAAAGCACCCAACAGAAATTTCACAGATTAAAAACAGAGCAAACACAAGAGCTCAGGAAGCCCAGCCATCATTAGTGAGCCATCGATGCCCATATTTTTGTAGACAGTGTTATCCTGGATTTACTACTGGAATACATTACGACGTGGATTATTATGCTGCCAGCTTGTGAATCATCAAATTGAAAATCGAAGTGTCATGTGACTGACTTTATGTTCAGAGAACAACATCAGGATCATCACGGCACGAGCTTTCTCAGGCCTCCTGAACCTGGACATGCTGGACCTGAGTCGAAACATACTGGATGATGAATCGTTCAGCCAAAACCCACTTTCTGTGAGTAACACTGCTCTCGCTGCATCTTTTAAAATTACTCACAAGTGACGTATTTTTATCCCTTTATTTATCTATTTATATAAAAAGTGAAAAAGTAAAGTAAAACCAGTAAAGGGTGGTGGTTACTCTGACTTAAATCTACTGCTCTTGTACTGAGGTTTGTGTCCCAGTGAGTAATATATAGTAATATGTGTGTAATACCAGTGTGAAAATCCACCACAAACCAAGGCTGTCCAACACCGTTTGACTGCAGAGTTTCTCCCACTCGTCTTACAACTGCAGTTGGAGACTTGCACTTCCAGTTCTGCCTGCACTCAATGAGTTTTCTAACTATATATTTTTAACTGCACTTTATGTCTGTTGGGTGTTTTCTAGAAAATATTTACTGTCATGAAATATCAAGTATTATTTATCCAGACTGGGAATGGAAAAAACAAACAAGTGTCACTGACAGTGACTGAACTCTGTTAGAAAAGTCAGTGTTGCTTCTCTCATTGTCTGCTGGCCAAAGAAAGAAGTGATAAAATAATTTACAGTAGACAACAACAACATTTAATATACTGCCAGACTGTAGTTTACCTTCGTAATGAGACAGAAAGTTTGTATTCACTGTCAGTTCGAGCCACAAATAATATTCTGGGAAGAACTATTTGGTGTGTTCAAACAGCACCAGCAGAGACAAACACACATATCAACAAAAAACCCAAAAAACTTTACGCCTCGAGGCCTGAAACTGAACCCTGTTTGACGTGGACGTGTTGAACTGCTCTGACATTATCCTTAGTAGCTCCGTCTTCACTCTTACAGAGAGTCCTCCGCCTGTCAGTACTTTTCTGACTTACAAGCACATTTTATGGGTCACTTTGCATCTAATTAAAATAAAAAGCAGGCTATGTCCTGTATCATTACGGTAATAAAAGAGCACTGAAAATGCATTAACTAATCCGTCTAAGAATAACCTCTGGTTTAAACCAGAGGTTATTCTTAGACCACAGGCCACACCGAGGGAGCCTACCACACTCTGACCAATCATTACACACTGCCACTGCTATACTGTCACGGTATTGGCTGAAAGAACCTGTTGGAAAAAAGCTGCAGCCAATGATGTGGGGAATATGAGGAAATTATTTTTAGAGGAATATTCTTCTTCAGTTTCTGCTCACATCCCTGTAATGACAGGGGATTGATGGACTGGCTGGAGGGATGCTGCGAAGTCCTGTCCACTGCTTTTATTCACTCATCAAAACCACAGCAGCTTTCACTGAAGAGCCACCCGGAGTGGCTTTGCTAAAAATATGAGAGGACAGATCACATGAATGGAAGAGATGCACAAATGTGACATTCTTTCATTTGGTGTGTTTCTGTGAGCTCTGTGGTTAAATCCCAATTGGCAAGCAGGGATGGGAAATTACGGACTTGGAGACAAGTATCTATTTAGTGTATTTTATCATCCCAGTTTTGCTCAACACCTATTTATTTGTGCTGCATTTCATTTCATGCAGAACCTGACCTCTCTGAGGAAGCTGGATCTGGATGACAACCGCATCACCGTGATCCCGACGCTGCCTTCATCTCTGGAGGAGCTCAAAATCAAAAACAATAAGCTGAGTGGACTCACACCGCACTGCTTCAAAGGTACACATCGTGTGTGTGTGTGAACACAGTCATGTGTAAAAATTATAACAGGTGTAACATCATAGGTATTATTTCCTAATAGGTTTGATGAATCTCCTGAAGCTAGAGCTGGGAGGAAATGCTCTTCACAAAGCTAGTGTGTCCCCTCCAGCTTTTAGGCCGCTACAGAGACTTCTTGACCTCCAGCTGAGCAACAATCACTTCCGGTCGCTACCACTGAACCTTCCTCCCTCTCTTCAGGTGCACATGTACCACATTTTCGAGTCATTTTTTCCTCTTTCTCTCACTGCTTGGAGTTAGACACTCTCGGACACTGTTTGCGTATTCACTGATTGTTTTCATTTTAAACTGTCACATTTCTGTCTCCTGTATCACGCCTCAGCATCTGTCTCTGTCTTCCTCATTCTGTAGACGCTGCAAATGAATGAAAATCTAATTGAGGAGCTGACAGAGGAAGCGCTGAGGGGCTGCATTCATTTGAGAGTGCTCGAACTCAGGCACAACCGTCTGCATGAGCAAGACATCGCTACCCACGCATGGACGCGTCTTAAGTATGTCCATCCATCCATCCATCCATCCATCCAACCCAATGTTATGTAGTTCCTTCATCAGCCACCAGAGGGCAGCCTGGTGTTGCTTAGGAATCTGAAGACGCAGCTGTCGTTTGTTCAAGTTCAAAACACTTTTCACTTTATTCTTGTGGCCACTAAAATATATGAAACAACAAATTTCCATTAAACGATGAGATTTTTTTAAACAGGCAGTAATTTAGTATCACAGTAAAGTAAATCATCGATGTTTAAAGCTGATGCCTTGTTTCAAAAATGACTGAATTAAAATGACAACACATTTGGAGTGTTGGAGCTTCAGTACGTGTTTTCTCAGCAGACATTTAGACTGATTTACACAAAGCCAGACAGTTTTCTCATTTCTTCTTCTGCTTCTCTCTCAGCCTTCCTCACACAGACAAACACATGTATGCTCACATATCACACACATTTTGACAGCTGACCTTGTGTACTTGGATGAGCAGGCGTGTGAGCGAGGGCTTGAGGCAACTGTGTGCATCTGTATGTGTGTATTTGTGTTTGTGTGTGTGCTGTTTAAATATGGTGAATTCCAGTGGGTTTTTCTTTTTTTTTTGCTCCTTAGGATCCTTGCGAACCAAAGTGGGAGCCTCAGGGAAAACTGAGGAAATAGAGAATGCAAAAGAGAGTTGCAGGAAAGTGAAGCTGTGGAGATTTTGTATATAGGGCACAAAGCAGAAGCATTAACTTGAGAAGATGCAGTCTGGGAAAACTTTAGGAAGTGATGAACTCTTGTAATCTTCTAGATGCAAAGCAGACTCCAGGACAGGAAGATGGAGTTCACTGGAGGAAATTCGAACAGACTGTCCTGAGTCTTCATGAGACTTGTTTCTGATGCCTGACACGTTGACCTCATTAGTCGTGAGAGCATCAACTTCCCATCGAGTCTGCAGGCTTAGTAGCTGGGCCTTCATTTTAAGGCTTCTGCATAGACACCAGACAGTGAATAAACTCAGCTTGACCTAAACTCCGCTTATACAGCAGGAGACAATAAGTAAGGTCGCTAACAAGACCAGAACCCTCCCTTGCAGCTGATTGTCTACAGACCTTTAATAGTATATCATCATGTGGTCCTACTGAGGCATGTTAAGAAACAGAAAGTGCCTGAAAAAGCTGAGAAAACAAAGATCAAAAGTGAATTGCTTAATGTGAAAAGAACTGCAGTTGGCTGGGTCTAGTTCGCAGGGTGCTTCTGTTTCGTGTCACAGTGCTGCTTTGCTTCTAGTTCGGTGATCGAGGTATGAGTGGGGAGAACGAGGTAACAGGGAGCTGGGATCCTTCTCAGGCAGACTGGGCTCACTTACCTCATTATGTATTTAAATAACGTGTAATGAAAACCTGCCTGTGAAATGTCTCTGAATCATTTGGGATAACCCCCCCCCAATATGCATTACTTTCCCCTCATCAGTAAAAACCAGCGTGAGATGTTGAGAAAATTGCCTGTTAAGGACAAAGACGTGATTATGTCAATGCATAAGCTGAGGGAGAATACGGAAACATATCTGTAGCAGTCTCGGTGTCCAGGAGCTCAACACCTTCATACTGGAAGTTTGAACTGAGTAAACAGGGATTACTCAGTTTGGGGAGATTTGTAAGATTTAGAGATGGGTCAAGTTCTTAGAAGGACAATCATTAATGTAGGTATCCACACAAATGGCTGCACAGTTTGCCAAAAAGCGCCTGAATGGCTTGGATACCTGGTTTCCACTGATTCGTTCTTGGCTCAGTGCCTCTCTGGAGACAGCGCTGTAGTGCTTTCTGAGAACAAGCTTACATTTCAGCAGGTTTGAGATTTTCTTTCTTTTCTGTGGGAAACAAATGTGCTGGCTGCGTCAGCAGATCAGCTTTGAAGTTGCTGTGGTGGCCTCTCCTATACTGGTTTGGGCCCAGCAATTTTGTGATTCTGTCTCTCAGTCACTTTTTTTTCTTTGGTGGGAATGCTACCACGTCTGAATGGGTTCTGTCATTGCCACGGTGGAAGAGGTATTAGAGCATGACATGCAAAATCCTCTGAAACAAAGATTCATAATTCAGTTCATAGTTCCCGGGGTCGTGTGCATGATTGAAACCAGGCACTAAGAAGCGATTAACACCATCACTACAGTCCAACGCAGTGGTGGCACGATCCTGTTGTGGGATTTCCTGGTACATGGACACTGATGGATGCACAAAACCATTTTAATAGAGCTCAGGTTCTCAAACTGGGCTAAGGATTACATTCAATAAGTCAGAAATCTAAAGCATCACTGAGAAGGCTGTTTTGGGAAAACTTGGTAAAAAACCAGAAGTGTACAAAAGTGGTGTTGTCCTCATAAACAAAAAGGATGTGTATCGGATCTACTTTGTGTGTTTCAGGATGAAAATCAAATGATTGCTCCAGTTAAAAGAACATGAATGCATTACTCGTTTTTCACGAGGTGATGTAGCTGGAGTTATGTAACCTTTAGCTAAGCGATGCATCGGAATACGTCTTCCAACTCCAACAACTGTGCCTTCCTTTGTTTATCCCTGTACGTGTTTGTTATGTAACGAAGCTGCGCTGGCATACAATTAATGCTGTTGCACAAGCAGTTAGATTTGACTCTTATCAGGCACAATGAGCAGCCTGTTCAAAAACACAGCTGTACAACTAAAACAGACACACACATGCACACACACCTGACACCTGCCTGTGTCAGTGCCTGATCTCAAACCAGAGCATTTTCTGATTTGAGACACTACACCCAAATGTCTGTAGATGATCATATTTCATTGATAAAGTCTTTCCGGTTGCAGACTGTAGTTTATGCTGTCAAACATTTACAGAAAAATGACGGATTGTGTAATAATGGATTTGTTTTATTGCGTGCTCTGCAGTTTGACTTAACACTCTTGTAAAAGGATCATCGACTTAAAAATACCCAGTAACAGCCACTCCAACTCCGTTAGATAATAACTGACAGAAGAGCCGAGTCTTTTTTTAATTTGGTTTGTGCTGAAACAGATGGCTGTTACGGCACATCAAATGTTATTTTTCTCCATTATTTTTTTATTATTTGTGTCATTTTGCACAGAGAAGCTGTCATGGGAGATCTGTGTATATTTATTGTCGCTGCAGGCTTAGACGGATCGCATGGAGGTGCAGGTTCAGTGATCATCACACCAAAGATGTGTGTGTCGCATCGTGACGTGTCTCAGCCTGACACGACTTGTATCAAAAGCCCTTTTCCTATTTGGCCCGGCGCAAATTGGTTTCGTAATGAGCTTATATAAACTGGGAAACAAACACGGCGCACACACTCTATACGTGCACACACCGGCTAAAATATGACGCTGACATCAAGTGAAGACCGCTGGGTTTCATTTAAGTGATCTTCAGTTCACATTTAACGGTTTCCTGCGTGGTTGCAAACACGTAACATTTAGCAAGTGTAAAAACTCACTTTAGATTTATAGAACGCAAAAAAGTCCAGTTATTTGTTCGAGTAATGCGGTAAATGATTTCAAATATGCTTCTGTGTGCTTTCAGTGGCAGCTGGCAGAGGCTCCAGCCCCTCAGGACCCCAGTTGGAATTAAAAAAAATGATTGGAGGGACTGTTTTCAACAGATCTCACAAATACTTCCAGATATCAGCCAGTGTTAATACATCCAGTGCGCACAAAAGTGCACACACAGCTTTAATAAGTCCAGAACGTGCCGTCATCCATCGATCGGTGCAGTTTCAAGTCCAGCTGCAGGCGTTCAAGTCTGCTTGGCATAATCACAGAGCCTGGCTTGAATACTTCGACTATTCTGTGTAATCCCGAGGCTGTGGTTTCACCGTAAATGGAGCCGCGTGTATCTGTAAGTGCAGTACCTGTTGTAAGCAGACCATCACCCTGAGCAGCTGCAGGACTGGACTACGCTTTGCACAAAACCGAGACAGACTTGATTTTTTTTTATGAAAAAAAGAAAAGCAAAAACATTTGCTTTGGTGTGAATTGTGTGTGTGTGTTGCCTGGAGTAGCTTGTGTGTTGTGTGCTTGTGCATGACTATTTGATCATAGTATGTGCATCTTTTTCTTTTTTGGGTGGGTGAATAGCAATTTCAAATCCATGCATTTGCATCCTCGCTGCACCTCCTTGACGCCCATCTGTGTCTGCCAGCATATTTATTTTCTGTGGGTGCGCATAGTTCATGTCATGTTGTGCGTATGAGAGTGTTGTTGTGTTTTTGTGTAGGTGCCAAGCCAACGGGTGGAGGTCTCTGAGAAGAGAGGACTGTGTGTCTCTCCACTCATTAATACCATGTGGTATTCAAACACTGGTGGACTGCTGCTGAGCTTACTGGCAAAGTTTTTGAATACAAATCAGCTGCACACAACTGGTCTAAACTGGTACACAGAAACAAGCATAGTGATGTGTTTTATGGTTTCAAGTGGGAACAGAAATCACTCTTTTTTATTTATTTAATTTAATAGAAATTCACAGAAAATTGTGCATTTGGCGCCTGCTGGTTTCTTTGTGTGCTCTGTGCTGCTGTGCTTCGCCAGGTTTCTGAAAGTTGTTCTCAGAGATGATGGAGGTGGAGGACGTTCTAATGCAGATTAGATACACAGGCTGTACATGAAAGATTGATGTCACTCATTGGTTTCAAATTGCATTTTGAAGCCTCGACCCTACTGCTGGGCCAGCTGTGTCCCTGAAGTGCACTGGTGCACAGACTACGTTTGTTATTCACCATGTTGGAGAGTCCGTGTCACACATCAGGCTCTATTGTTTGTCAGGTCATTTCATTAAGGATGACAGGCAGCAGGAGATCAAAGACAACAGAGAGGTCAACAGTGAGCTGTGTTGGCACACGTGCCAATCAAAGAGACCAGTAAGAGTAATGTGTTATATAATACTGGTGAGGTCTGATTCACTTTTGGAGCCAGCCTTAGGTGGTCCGGACAGGAACTGCAGGTTTTGGCACTTCCACATCCATTTTGCATCCATCTCCACAGATCCTGTGTTTTTCTCTCTCTGTAGTGTGACCCAGAAATACGTCTGGGCAAATATAAACTATGCTCCTTTAAAAACAAACAAACATCTTTTTGTGTTGCAAACTAATGATGTGAACAGGGACTGGATATATACCATAAAAAGTTTTTATTGCCAGTAAATAAAAGTAACTCTTGGAAAAGACAAACTAACAAATAATGATTAAATCTACTTTTATGTTATTGTTACCCTTCGAGTACCCTTACATGTGCTAATGCAGTATTTCATCATATGAAATACTGAAAGAGCTTATTTTGGTTCTTCTGTTTCTGAATATTTACAGTCGCACCTTAATAGCCGAACCTGTTAGTGGGTCATAGTGTTTATTGTGTACATTTTATTCTAGAGCATTTCACCGTACACACAAAATGTGAATATTTTGCACAGCCCGGACAAATCTATAGGAAACATGTCTTGGTAGTAATCTTGAATTCTGTGCAAAGTCTTGAGCAAACCCTGGTTTCTTTATATTTAATAGGAAAAGAGGAAATATGTGCTGTGATTTATTGAAACAGGTGTAATGTTCAAAAGAAGGAGAGTTGTGTTTTATTGTAAGCTGTAAGCTTTCTATTGTAAGCTGATAGTAACAGAAACTGTGAAGCAGACAGCATCAGTCAGACATACGTTGGCCCACATGTGTTCAGCATCCACAAGCCTTCACTGATTGGGCCCCAGTTCCCATCACTCTGTAGTCATTAACTGGCCACCTGAATGTTTTCTGAGCCCTTTTGTTCAGTGATGTCAGTGAATGGAGGAAGAACCGAAAATGAGGTTTTGTCTCCTGCTGTGAGCTGTGCTGTAAACTCAAAACAGCTGTGTAAGACCTTCTAATAAACACTGAATCACAGTGCTGCAGTGCACCCCGAGGACTGCTTTGATAAGTCAGAATTATTATTATTGTCTTTGTCTCAGACCTCAGAAATCTGGTCCCAGCTCTGTGGCTATTCTTTAGGTTTCCCATAAGCCAAACATTTTCTCTATCAGCAATTCTGCCTCAAATTCTCCCCCAAACAGCCATCGTACCCCTCAGGCCCCACTGTTTTATTGGCTGGTGCACCCTGCTATTCCACCACACAGGCTCGCCTCCCTTTCCCCCCAACAGCGCGATGCAGGAGGCCAGAAATGATAAAACATGAGATGAAAGCTGCAGCGAAAGGTTTATGAGTCAGTGTGGATGTGGGTCTATTGACATGCTTAATCAGGAAACCTGCAAAACCTAAAACACTTCATCATCACATGCTTCTGCTGAGCAGCTAACCTCAGCATTATCACTAGTAGAAAGGTTGGGAGATCACTGAGATCTTCAGCTTGATGCCATAAGTGCTGTGATATCACTGGAAATATGGATCTACAGGTTGTCTCTGAGCAATTTCAGACTGATTGGACGTTTTTTTGCAAATATGACTGAGATTATTCTATGCACTGTATTTCTTCAGGTCCTTGGAAGCCTTGGATCTATCTCACAACCTGTTCACTTCCGTTCCTCTAAACCTGCCGCGCCCTCTTCGTAATCTGACCCTCCAGCACAACAGCATCAGTCACATCCCGGCCTTCACGTTCCGTCACCTGCGGCCCGGCCTGCGGTCCCTGTGTCTGTCCCACAATGACCTGAGCAACGACGCTATAGAACAGTTCTCTTTTGTTGGATCTTACCGCTCGCTGAGCGAGCTCCTATTGGACCACAATCGCCTCGGAGAAGTTCCTCGCTGCATCCGGCAGTTTAAAAACCTGCAGGTGCTGAGACTGAGCAACAATCAGATCAGGTAGAATTGGATTTTCCATGAAGTCAAATGTGATTTCTATAATGCTGGGATGAGCTTACTGCTTGCTTGTTACCCAATCCTGTCTTAACACCATTAGCTCTGCTGGTTCCTTTGAAATGATTCTAAGGAGCTTAACAAAGAACACATTCAATTTCTTATGTAAATGTGTTTCTTATCTTTACATTATATACGGCTTTGAGACTTTAATTTTAAAATAATAAACATTTGAATGTTTGGTTTCTGCGTTATTTCATAGTGAAAATTGTCTGCCTAAATTTCAGTGTGCATATGTTTCAATTATAGGCTGGTGAGGCAGTGGAGCGTGTGCCACCCTCGCAATTCGGGCTCCTTGGCTTCAGTCCACCTCGAAAACAATCTGCTGGAAGTCGAGAAGATTCCCCCAAACGCTTTCTCCTGTCTCACTGACCCTCAGGGCCTTGTTCTACATCCGCAGCAGTGGTCTGACTGATAGGACAGACATACGGGAACATTTCTTCTCCCACGTTTGCATCACCCTGTAATGATGCAGTGTTTGCAGAAAAAACATTTTCACCATGTATGTTGCTTAGTAAGCTGCAGCTTTCATTATATCATCTCTAAAGCCATTTTCCTCTCACATCTTTGATCATTTCAGTATGTAATAAAGCAAATATGTTCTTGACATTGTGCTTAAAATAACTAATGTTGTAAAAGTTGCTTTTTATATTGTAACAGTTGCATTGCAATCAGAATGCACATAAAGCACAAGTTTTGTCTTTTCATTAAGGGATTTGATACTTTGGGAAACTAAAGCAAAGAAAAGGATTAACCTGTGTCTCTAGCCTGAGGTACTTACAGTAGTCTGAGCTCAACTATTTAATTAGTGGAAGAGGAACTAAAGCAGGATGTTTGGAAGGGCAGAGATGGCGTTTGACCGCTTCATGATCAAACTTTAGCTCCCTGAGAGAAAGTGAGATCTCTGGCAACACAGTGTGAACCTCAGGGGGCCATTAAGAAGAAAAATATAAACATCATACTAGTTTCCTACAACTAGAAACCCTCCAAAATAAACATCCACTAGCCACTCCAGAAATGCTCAGGGTCACTCTGACTGTGAAAGCGGGGCCTCGTTTGGGGTCTCCAAACATGTAGATGATGACGTCAGTCACGGTGTTTTAATAGTTGGAGTGCAAACATGTATGTGTGTGCGTGAGAAGAATGAGGCAGCAGCAGGAGATGAGGAAAAGCTGAGGAACATGTTAAAGCTGAGTGGAGCTCGGGTATAAACTACAGGCTGGCTTTTAAGATACAATACATCCATTGTACTTAGGAAGCCTCTAAGGTGATCAGTGAAACATGAGAATATTCATGGCAGTGAGTTCAATAAGACTCGGCTACAAGGGAGAGAAGAAAGGAGGTTTACAACACGGGGAGAAGATACAGAAGCCGAAATCAGATCATGTTCAGAGTGCTTTTCCCATCTGGGACTGGAGCTCTGTTGTTTACTGACAAACTCTGTGTTTCTGTCCCACTCTTAACATCACTTGCTCGTGCCACCTTTTGCGCAGAATAATGCAATCCTGTAAGCGTGACATGCAAACGCACTCCTAAAGAGAACAAAGCAGCCACTCTGAGTGTTTTCATTCATCTAATCCCACGTTAATATCTCCATCGTCAAAGCGTAACGTGACATTTCAGGGCGTTTTAAGAGAACGCATGCAAGTGCGAGCAATCAAATGCTGCAGCAGTCTCTTTAATTAGTTAATCCACTCATACTCAGACAAAACACATTTCACAGTATATCACTCAGAGTAATGTGTATAATTAAAACGATAAAACATTGAGTTGTGTTTAGCGCACAAAGTCGTAATTTACGCAGAGTGCGCTTGCTGTGTTGACAAGCTGGCTTAAGGTATAAGGTTTCACCAGAGTGCGGTGTTTCTGCAGCTCTAAATGAAGAACAGAAGGCCCCCTGCAGACGCTAGAGTTACAAACACACTCGAGGGAGGCGGGGAGCGATCGACACTTAACAGCACAGCGAGTGTATTTGTGTTATTAACGATGGAGCTGATGACAAAGCGAAGCAGGTTATAAAATCCGGTAGACGTACCCTCTGAATATGAGACAGACCCACATATCCTTCTCTATCCTTTCTCCCTGGGCGTGTGAGCACATGCTGGATTTGTGCTCTCAGCCCTGTGCATGTGGTGCAGCCTCCAACCTCCATAATTGTACAGTCATTTTGTAAACAGCATATTACTGTCTAAGAAACTGCACATTCACATTTATAGTGCAGTTCCTGTACTTACAGGCTAAGCTGAAGCTTTGCACAAAAATGAGCGAGCTGTGTCTCTTCCTCTTTTTAACCTTTCCATCTTTGCACAGATGGATTCATCAGTTTTGAATTGAAATCCTTAAACATGCCTCCACAGCCTGTCAGATGGAGTCTTTAGCAAATGTCACGGGCTCACCACTTCACTTCCATGCATGACGCCGCATGTGACGTGACTAAACTGTTAAATCAACGCGCTGTCATAGCCAGCAGCTGTCTGCATCCCGTCGAGCTCAGTCTGACCGGCCCTAGAGGGGGGGTCGAGCTTTTTGTCTCCCATGTAGCTCTCCATCCTACCCTGAGACGACAGCTTCCTGTGTTTGTTTTTTGATTGGGCTTTGGCGGATGAAGTGCTGGTTGATAAAATAAAAAGGCCCAACACTTACAGAGAAAAGCTGCTAAAAGATTCTCTTCCTGACTCGGACTGTGACAACAGAGAAACAGATAACGCGAGGCAAGAAGAGAGAGTATGGATGCAGGGTCTAAAAGTGAGGACACTGTTTTTGCTAGAACTTGAAACTGTGCATTCTCTGCAGGTATAAGCATCACTGAGTAGGAAATTGTTTTTCATTTAGATAAATCACAGTGTAAAAGAACTAAACAACATATGAGTAAATATCATCCAATGGTGCATAGCCTCGATCATGGCAGTAGCTGTCTAAGAGCTAGTGGGTGTGTTAATCTCTGGAGACACGTTAGATGAACACTTGTATAGAGCAGAAAGAGTTTAATTTAGATGCCAAGCCCTGTAGCTACAGCCCAACACCATAATCAACCGAACCACAGCGAGAGAGACACACAGGCACACAGAAAATTAAAATGCGTGAAGCAGAGGGAAAGGGCAAATTTACAAACGGGAGAAAGAGAGGAAGCAGGGAAAGAAGGAATGTCATCTGCAAAGTCCTTTATCAAAACACTGTCCCCTGCCAAAAGCCCCTGCAGGGCACTGATCCGGCCCGCATGCCTTTCCACCACTGTGGATACGACACTGTTAGTGACAAGAGTAGATAACTAAACGTCAGACAGGCAGTGTCAGCTTCTTCTTGAGTTTATATGATGGCAAAAGTGATTTTGTGCTGACAGGCCTGGAGCAGCAGAGCTCATGGATTAATGTCTGTGTGGCAGTCCTTGTGTAATGTCATAAGAGTTCCAAGATCGTGTGGCTCGCCAAACTCACTGCTCCCTCGGTCCGGGTGCTGGCAAATCGGTTAGAAACAACACTTCATCCTGCCAAAATGAAACTTAATAGAAAACTGTGAAAAAGGCCCAAAAGCATATGTTTTATAATCCCAGAACTAAAATATAAACTTTGTCCACTATTGTGGTGCGACTAGCTGCTATCACTAATCAGACGGAAATGGGCCACTGGATGTTTCACAATAAAAGACGGGTTTATTTCACCAGCTGCTGACTGCCAGTGCTTAAAGAATTACATGGAAAGCATCTGCAAGCATAAAGCACAGCTGTAGCTGCTGTACTCCCAGAGAAGGATTAAATGTCCTGGGAGTTTCCCCCTTCTTTAGCAGATATTTATGTAATCTGAAAAAGCATAGGATATACAGTACACAAACGTTTCTATTGTCAGTAAATAAGTATTGTCTTAAAAATCAACTATGATTTATCTTATTGTTACCTTCCAGTGTCCCTCAAAAATGGTGCTATCTCACTGTTTGGGCCACTCAGAGGGCCGGCTTCTTCTCCTGTGGTGCTACAGTATATTTACAGTTGCACTATAATGAAAATGTGTGAGTCTGTGTGTGAGTCTGTTAGAGAGCGACGTGCAAATTTTCTTCCACAGCAATTCAAAAATGGAATTTCCTGACCTGTTTTGTCACGACAAGCCTCTAGAATAACATCATTGGTACTGTCCATCAATTCATTTTATTCTTATCCAGTTCAGGGCTGCAGGAGCGCTGGAGCCTATCACAGCTACCACAGGGTGAGAGTCGGGGATCACTCCAGTCTGTGGGCTAACACAGAGAAGCACATAAACACTCACATCTACAGCCTATTTAGTCACAGTTTTAGCCCAACCCCACTAACTGCATGTTTTTGGGGTGTGGGAGGAACCAGAGTACCTGAACAGGACATGAAATCTCCACACAGAAAGTCCCAGCCACATGATGGATTTGAACTCTGGACCTTCTTGCTGTGAAGCAACACTGTTCCACCATCCTGCCCTAATAGCCATCTTGAAAACTGTATACATATAACGCTGTGCAAAGTCTTGAGCAGCCATTTATATCGTGCTAGGTAAATGTGGAGATAGATGCACAGACATCTTGAAACAGGAGGAAATGTGAATGGACAAAACAGCATATAAGGCAAAAGCAGAGTTTGTACAGTTCTAACAAGATTATCTTTGGCACGACCGCCTTTATTCTTGACACAACCCTTGTTGTGATTTGGTGCTTCTTTGGATGTTTGCTCCGTTTTGCTTCATTGTAGGTCTAGATGACTCCACGCTGCTTCAGTAAGGTGCGGGCTCGGGGATGTCAGTCCATGGCTGATAGTGTTGCTGTGTGAGAGTTTCTGTCCAGGTATGGTTTTACTGTGCTGGCACAGTGTTAGCATCACTATCATGCTGAAAAAGGAAGCTGTTGCCAGTCAGAGAAAGCGCTTCCATTTTGGATCCAATCTACTTTTCTGCTTTCATAATTTCATCAATTTTGACAAGATCCCAACACTGCTGGCTGAAATCCAGCCTGTGACATACTATTTTTTATAGACATTCACTTTTGTATCTCTTTCCTCCCCTATAATTAGATTTGAAGCAAAAAAAAAATCACATTTGGATTCATCACTCCATAAGACCCATTGTCACAGATTTTCAGTCCAGTTCTTGTGTAGTTTCGTCATTTTTAAGGACACTGCACCACACTAAGATATGCCAAGTTCTTGGCTAATAGCACTTTGAAAACCACCTTGTTGGTCTGTGTTATCGACATAGATTCAACTAAAGAAATGGAAACAGATGAAACAAATGTGTTCTGCAGCGGGCTGCTAATAACAAAATGTCAGAAGATATGTTAGCTCTTTGCTGTGTAGGCACAGAACTGGTTCATCCTTTACGTTAGGTGCATTTATATGCTTAAATAATTTATAGGTCGGTGTTAAGGCCTAACAAACAAAAACTATTCCTCTGATAATGGTCAGTTTCAAGAACTTAACTAAAAATTTGAAAAATCCGCCAATGAACTTAAATGCACTTAGGACGTCTTGTAGAGAAACTGCAGAAATATTACTCAAAGCCACTTAGCCAATACAAGAAACTGCCTCCTTGGATGCAAAATATAAAGAAATAAGGGTTGGCTCAAGACCTTTCCACAGAACATGGCCGTAAATAAAAAGACCCCTAATTATTCAAAGTTGTGGATGTTATCTGCTGCGGTTTCACTGCAGAAACGATTGCTTGTAATATCACAGCTCTGCCACTTTCAGCCGTTACTGGCAGGCTGCTGAAATACAGCAAGGAAGTAGACATACTCCCTCCTCTTCCTCCTCCTTCTTCTCCGAAGCTCAGAGCCTGGCTTGTTAACTTTATGGGCTCAACTCCCTCGGAACGCAGTCATTTCCTCGACTTGGACTGGAAGGCGCGCACACGGTGGCCTGACGCGGAACGCAGTTGCACACGGAGCTGCGGCTGGATGTCAGCGGATCGTAGGGAAACACCGCGATAATCCCTAAATGTGATGAAAATATAGGATATTTTATCATCTCCAAGATAAACTGACGCACAGAAGGAGAAAAGCAATCGTCAACCTACTTTTTGGAACTTGGAATAAAAATCTTATTTCTTTCCCAAAGGTAGGGGAGTTGGGTTATTTTAATATATGTACTTTTTAACTTGGCAGCGGACTCGGAAGCAACAAAATCTGTATTAATTAAAATGAGATAGCTGCCTCCACTTTTTTCTTTCTTTTTTCTTTTTTTAAACAAAAAGTTTCCCAAATATTTTTTACGTTTTGATGGAGCTGCCAGCGTTTATATTTACAGCTGAAAACACAGTACACTGATAGAAATGAATAGAAATCATTTTAATCGTTCATTTATTTCCCTGCAAATATCTGATTATGAATATGTGTATTTGATGGCTTTGGGATTCAACCTGTTGCATCTTGTGGTCCATAGCGTTGACCTGTAGTTTTAGCTCTTACCCCAGGCGCCCACAAGATGGCGCAATGAATCTCCAAAGCTCATTCAAGCTCTAATTACAAGGTAAGAAGATAATTAAGCAAACCTCTTTCCACTTAGTTGGTTCTCTAAATAAGTGGGCTCTTATTCTATCATCAGGCTCTAAATGTAACATCGTGTAGAGCAGGTCTTTTAGGTCCATCCATGCATCCTCATTTTGGGAGAATAATTATAGTGAAACAGCCATTCGAGTCCTTCTTGTATACAGACTGCTTTACCCTCAAATTCAGCTCTGGGTAGGCCGACACAGTGTTTTGAGAAAACTGTGTGTGGAGGTACTTTCTTTGGCAAAAAGATTATTATAGCTCGCTCTCCTCTTAGCTGTATTTTGTTTTTTAACATAATATTATGCAGACAAAATATGAAGCTCTTTGAAGAACAACCTTTTTCCTCCCTCAGTGACCCAGTTCTGTCTTGTAATGATCATTATATGTCCAGTGGTTAACTCCCCCGTATGAGACACTGAACTGTCTCCTTAAAGACAGGGAAACTGTGTTAGTCTGACTTCAGCCCGTCAAAATGATGGTCTGAAGCTTCAGGAACAAACAGCTTCAGGAACAAACAGCTTCAGGAACAAACAGCTTCAGGAACAAACAGGCTGCTTTCCTATTGCCGCTCTACACCTGCTGCTCTGTCTGTCCTGTGATTCTCACTATCTCCCTGTCTATCCGTCCACCTGCCTGCCTGGGCACTTATTATGGTGCACCTTTGGTCATCTCCAAGACAACCTGAAGCTGCCAACATTTATTTTTTCCATCATACACTTGCCTAAATGCATACTCAGTCCCATGCAGCTACACATTCTCTCTGCAGATGGTAGTTATCATTTCTTTTCTCCAGTTAGAAGTTGTGCTTTTTTTGGCCGTGTTTTGACAATAAAATATGCCAATTGTTCCATTTTGGGTTGTCATAAAGCAACCATTGTTTATAGTCTCTCTTCATACCACACTTATAACTGGCCCAAGTTTTGGAATAGTCCACATGCTCTGAGGCTCATCTGCCCACAGGCGTGGATCCTCAGGTCCTACGCTCCTCTCCAGCTGACTGATTAGGCTCTTTTTTTGCTTTTTAGCTTTGCTCTGCTCACTGCTGTGCATTTGGTTAAGCCTCATCTCTGCAGCACTGAGCTGCTCACCACCACATCCAAGCTTGGTGGCATCAGAGGAGCTGCCAAACAGTTCCTTTTTTTAGGGACGGCAGTCACCAAATTACAGCCGCTGGGGCAGTTAACTCCACCCGAATGCTTGTACCAGACCCGCCTAACAGCCTGCCTGTCTGAAGAGTGCATGAATTGGGGACGCGTGTGAGTGTGTCAGAGCCTTTGTGTTTGTTTGACATCCTACTTGCAAACATTGTGGTAGGTTTACACTTGTGTAAAAATGTGAAACAGGTGTACAGTGTTACCCACGCTGCTTACAAGACCATATGTCATGTATTCGTGAGTTAATAAACTCTGACACAAGGTTATTAAAGCAGGTGACGTGTGTCCGAGTTTACTGCAGCTTCTGTCCAAGTCAAGGGGAAAAAACGTTCTCACTCAGTGACCAGATTTCTATTTATTCTCTGCAACGCCATGTTAAGCCATGTCAGATTGTTTCAGCACAGTCAGCACTGTGATCACTTGGAGCCACCGTGTGATCTTAATCGGCACCAAGCGTTGACGTGGCGGCTGCCAATACAGTGGTGTTGCAGAGCCAGCTGGCACTTGCTGAGCTCTCTGCCCCACCTTAATTCTGCCAACTCAACTGCTAACAAAGCAGAGCTGAACTGTTCCAGAGGATGAAAACGAGGTTTTACGTCAGGTTCACTGTACAGCGATGTCACAGGGTGAGACCTCATCTCTCGTAGGGGTCAAAGTAGGAAAAAGATGAATGTTTCCTCTCTTTCATCTGCAGAACAGAGTGACATTACTGGCATCTCAGAGAGCACTGAGTTTAAACATATGTATGTTTAGCTTGAAAAAGGCAAATGCTATCATTTTTATGAGCTCTGGCTGTAACACAGTGCAGTGATGTGAGGCGCGATGAATAACCCAGGACTTGATGGATGCTTTTTACCATAACTACGTCCTGACGCAACCTCACATCCTTTTGGGGGTGAGTCAGGAAGAACATCCGGCATAAAAAACAGCCAAATGAAACATGGAGAGATACCCACCATGTGAATAAAGGAGCAGCCGAAAGCAGACTTTACTGTGCTCTATGTCTCAGAATCTACGTCTCTTGCCTCTCCCGCTTGTCCAATTTTCACATTTGAATTCAACAGTGAAGAATTGGAAGTTTCTGTTTTCTCCTGCCTGTTATGACAGCTTCAACCACATGTGGTTGTTTACACAGACATATTAAGTGTGAGTATGTGGGTGTGACTGACAAACTGAGAGTGAGGCATCTTTAAGCTTGCAGGGAAATTCCTTAATTTTCCGTCTTTGGTCTGTTCACTTTTTTTTGAAGGTAGAGGGATGTTTGTGCTTGTGCTGTTTCAGCACCGAGCCCGAGGGATCAGTAGCAGCGCTGTATTCTCAAAAGCACGTGGATACGCATAGATTTAAAGGGGATTTCTTCCCATACGAAAAACATTAGCCTGGTTGCAGCTGCAGATTCAGGTGCAGTTTCTGTCAATTCGGACTCAGTGTTTTAGTTAAAAGCACTAAAAATAGATGTAAAGTCCAAAAGGCGAAGATATCGACTGAGTGTTCACTTAATTTTTGCCAAGTAGTGCAGGAGAGATGCTACGACTTGGAAAGTCCTTCTTTTGTTCCTGTGATCCTTCGGCTCCCTTGTTGCCCACAACCTTCTGCTTACACACAACTCCCACTTTTTCTTTCTTCTCTCTGTCTGTCTCATAATTATCGTTCTGCTCTTTCCTTTTTCCTTTTTTGTGTCGTCTGCACTCCCTCCAGCTACACACACACACTGCAGACAGTAAAGTGAGACAGGAATAGCCAGCCATCCATCCATTAAACCACTCGCCCTTTGGATGGGAGGCGAGATGAAGAGCCAAGGCAACAACAATTAAGGCTGAAGGCTTTGGTTTGTTTCCGTCTCAGCCCGGATGTTTCACAGCTCACAGCTGGAGGGAAAGAAATTCATATGTACAAACACCAGGGTTGGATAAAAGTGGGTATTACCGACTCCTTAATTGTGGGACATAGTAAAGGCTTATCTTCATGACGTGTTTATAGTAGCCTTGTATGTAATTCCTGGGTGATAATAAACCGTATCGGACTTGTTCCTGTCTCCCTTTTTTTCTTCTCTTTGATGCTCAGCACCTCTGTCTGCAAATCGTCTGTCACATCGCTTCAATTCTTTGGTCTGACTGAGAGAAAAAGGCTCCACAAATTAGAGCATGGGTGACACTTTTTGTGGATTTACAACGTATACTTCTTATACCTCCCATAATGTTGCAAAGGGACAAACTGCAGAAATTGTAGGTGTATAAATAGGTCTAGTGGTGTCTTCTGTATATCTTCCAGCTCTTTGTGTGCTGCGTGTCATTGTGTGATGCTGACTATATGCCCTAGCTGTGTCCTTTTGGCTGCATTCTTCTGACCAAGCCAAGGCCAGTGGTGCTTTTTCTTTTCTGGTATAATTTGGCAGCTATTTTTATTGCAGGGAGCAAACTACAGGGGCCAGATATTCGTGCTTCCTGGCCAGGTCCACATCCACGTCTTTCTTCTTTCCTTAAATAATACCATTATTTCTTTGAGTAGAGAAAATTCCATTTGCAATTGCAGTGGTCAGAGAATTAATACATTATTAAATAAGAGCTCACAACTCAATATTTACTCACGAGAGGCTCGAATGCTCTAAAGACACGCTCACTTGCTTCCATCTGTTAGCTCCGCCCTCGGCTCCCCCTTGTACTCCCCTTAGTTCTGATAATATTGGGAGTTGAGTCATTTCATCTTCTTGTTTCCAGTGAAAAACAGATCATGTTGCTACAAAACTCTTGTGTTTATCAAGGCCCATTTGCATACTAACCATCTTTTCAGTCTTATGCAGGATTACGGAGCTGGAGATCAGAGGAGGAATTAACACGAAAAAATGAGAGCTTAAAAGGTCACTTCATAGGATTAGCCTCTAGGGTCATGTTTACGACCCTGTATGCTGCACGGCTCAAGTGACCTGCTAACAGTCTCGCTTTTTTTTTTTCTAGGAATGACTTTTTAGGGGGAGGAATGACTGTGCTGAAGTGTTAGTTAGGTCAGTGCACCCTGTGTAAAGTAGGCAAACAAAAATGCACAAATGCACACACACTGCTTACATGTCTGATGACATGTAAGCAGTGTGTGTGTGTGCACGCGCATACTATGACATCATGGAGTCTGTTTCCTGAGAAACCATGCAAACCTGTATGCACACATTTGCCCTTGCACACCCACTTTCTCCTGTAAATGAATGGTGGCTTTGTTGCAATGCTCATTTGCAGGAATAAACTTTTCCACAATTTACTGTAGGTGATGTTCCTCGCGCTATCTGATTGGCTAGTTAGAAGAGCCTTACTCTTATGAGACCTGTGGTGTGCACGAGGCAGACAGTGACATGGTGCGGTTGAAGTCACTTTTCTTCCCAGAGTCAAATGCTGGCAAGTGCTGGAGGGGACTGGGTGCATTTGCCCTCCATAGTCTTAGTTTCACTCGTCCTTCTAGGTGTGCAATAAAGAGTAGGACTGTAATTATGAATGAGCAGAGCATTTCATGCTATTTTAGAGTGAAATGAAATACACCAGCGAGTATGTGCTGTCTGTGACAGAACAGGTATCCAGCCCTGCCCATGCAGTTTTCCTTTCTCCTGCATGTTTACTTCAGAAACACTTAGATGTGCATATTCCTGTCCACACACAC